CAATTTGCATATATAAAACTCTTCGTAACGTGTAAGCTGTACTTGTGAGTACAATTTTTTGTATTTCTTTAAGGCTACCAGGAATCCTTTCAATGAGTCTATCGGAACCTTTTCCAATCAATTCGATGGCTCCAACTACAAGTGAAATTATTGATGTCCTCATGTGGCACATTTTTGAGATTTCCTTATATTTTGATAGTATTTTGAAGATCTTCAAAGATACATTACCGCCTGCAAGGACATTCTATTTTTGTGGTCTTTGATCACAATGTCTGAGTGATTAGCGTTGATTGTTCAGAGTCTGTGTATTGTAAAGTTCCATAAAATTGTCCTATCTCTGTAACCGTGTCTGGGTGATGTTCATACCAGTTTCATGCAGTTTCCTTCCTGTAAAAGTTGCATTTTTCCCAGTGCAAATATTGAAAAGTTCTCCACTGCCTTAACCAGGTATTGAACTCACACTGGAGGACACATTTCACATGGCAAAGGCATTAGTTAGATCCAGTGACAGGACCCAAAGGATGTGAGTTCAATACCCGGTTAAGTCAGTGGAGAACTTTCAGATGGAAATTAACAGGAGATAACTGACATCCATTAAACATGGCACGTGGAACTAGAACAGTCTACCCCAGTGAGCGAAATAAAGGGTTAAGTTCGACATTCCAACCACCTGAAGAAGGCCAGAGCGTGCAACGGCCGAAACGTTGCAATAAATATGGCGACAAAGATGAGGACAATAGTCCGAATAATGTAAATAATCTTCTTTCTCACTGTTCTCGTTTTCAACCGAAAATTTCACCGGTATTCTCAATCAAATCGTATTACCTCAGACAGCTCACACCTTTGGCTGAATATCTGCAGTGCCAAGTGACGCAGACTTCAGCAGTAATGGGACCCTAGGAGTTGTTCCGGTTTTCTCAAGTTCGGTGCTACAGACCCCAACGCCCCAATAATAACTGGGACAATAGTGGCCTGTACGTCCCACATATTGGTATGTTCAATCTGCAGGTCGGTGTATTTTTAAGCTTTGACTCTCGTATTATTATGGTTACCGGGAACGGCCACGTCGACAAAGAGGCATTTTCTTGTTTTTCGCCAACGACGATGATGATTGGTTTCGTGGGCACAAAGAATTATTATTATTATTATTATTTGAGTTTTTGTGCGCATTTTCTATGGTTTTATTTCAGTTGTTTCAATTTTGTTCATGAGAATAAAACTGTTGACGACACAGTCGTTCATAATGAGAAAAAGTTGAATGTCGCATTTTTTATGTCAGCTGAGGAGAGCGCGTACACACACACACACACACACACACACACACACTTGCTCTCTCTCTCTTTCTCTCTCTCATTCACACACATGCAAACGCACACACACCAAACGTTATTCAGTGTTTTCAGGAATAAAAGAAGTGAAACAGAAACGTCTTTGTACTAGTAATTGTTATTGCGACGATACTTGTGTTTTTCTTTCTTTTTCCAATTATTTTTCTTATGTTTTCCTCCCTCTCCCTCTCTCTTTTCTTTATCCAATATCTTTCTTTTTCTTTGTTTGTTTCTTTGCTTCTTTCTTTCTTTCTTTCACCTGTCTCGTTTCTCTTTTAATAGGTTTTGCTTTCGTTCCTCCCTTCCTTCGTCCGTCCTTTCTTTCTTTCTATTTTTGTCTTCTTTCTTTCTTATTTTGGCCTTTCTTTCTTATATTTTGTCAATCCCCATCTCTCTCCTTTATCCAATATTTTTCTTTTTTTTTGTTTGTTTGTTTCTGTCGTTCGTTCACTCTTTCATTCTATTTATGCCTTTCTTTCTTTCTTTCTTTCTTTCTTTCTTTCTTTCTTTCTTTCTTTCTTTCTTTCTTTCAAGCTCCCGCTCTCTCCTTTATCCAATCTTTTTCTTTTGTTTACTACTTTGGTTATTTCTTCTTTCTTTCTTTCTTTCTTTCTTTTGGGTATATATATATATACCCATTCTTTCATTCTTTATACGATCTTTTTCTTTCTTTGTTGCTTTTTTTTCCCTTAAGCTTTTGTTTAGCTCCCCCTCTCTTTCTCCCCTTTTCCCAATTTTTTCGTTTATTTTTTTTTTTTTTTTTTTTTTTTTGTTTGGCTATCTTTCTCTCCTTCCGTCTCTCTCCCATTCTTTGTTTATCTAATCTTCTATTTTTTCCTCGTTTCTTTTTCTATATTTTTCCCATGCTTTTGTCAATCTCCCTCTTTCTCTCTCTCACTCTCTCCTTTACCCAATCTTTTTCTTTCTTTGTTAGTTTCTTTCTTTTTATTTGTTTCTTTCTTTTTCCGAACTTTTTCTTTTGTTTTTGTGTCACTATTTGCTTCTGCTCTTGTATTCTTCATTATTGTCTTGTTATTGGTGGAGCTGGTGGATGTGCTGGCAATAATGGTAGCAGTGATTATTATTATTATTATTATTGTTACAGCGATGGCGATAATGGCGAGGATCACCTTTTCACTAAAGTGTCAAGTGTCTTTCTATTTGTGTGTTAAATGTTACCATACTTCAAGTTCGTGCAGCAAGTCTGAGGTCAAATTATTCTTACTGATGTCTGGAAAGTCAATAGTTGAGAAGAAAATGCTTTTGTTTAAACAAAGGCGCGCGCACACACGCATTTGCAAAGATTTACAAATACCTGACGCAACGGGGAACCTTTGGTAAGAAAATAAAACAAAAAATCTCTCTCTGTTAATTAGTTCCATTTTTAGTACCTGGGGTATGGGTGTATGACGGTGAAAGGAATTTAAAAACAAATTCGAGCAAGAAACGTTCGATGGATACTGACGAAATTCAACCAACAATAAGGGAAAAGGCTTACAAATAGAAAAGAATGTTCAGGTTGTAAGTTTTGCATTTCTACAGAAACACGCTTCTCCAAAAATATAATCAGTTTTATTTGTCATATTACTAACAATTACTATCGATGTGTACTCCAGAAATCGAAACGAAAATATAAATTTAACCTAAAATTTGGGTTATGTTCTCAAATAACCTTGCCAGATCGAGACTTTCATATGGATGCCATGAAATAGTTCCAGAATCGTTCAGAAATATCCAAACTGTCACCTGTATTCAACCGCTTCCTTAGATCAATGGTTAAAACTGTCTTCATGTGAATGAACACTGTAGGTCGTCGTGAGGATCATCCTTCTTCGAACCTTGTGGATTGGAGCTCAAGAATCACAAGAACTGTGCCTAATAACAGAAACCACATATTTCGCGGACTTTTAACAACAACAACAACTAAAATGAATGTTGACATTCCACACAACTTCAAACAAAATGTTACGAGACTATGTGAGGAGTTGTTGTCCGGTGTCGTGGTGTCAACAGGGACAGCCTAGTGGATCCCATATACTATGGAAGACCGTTGTAGTGATATGCTAGATATACATCTGGTACTGCCTACATTGAATGGCGATGCGATTCGAATCAGTGTCTTTTGTCTGTTACCACAGACAATTGTAAGCCGCAGGTCACGATTTTCAAGTATACGTGGAAAATGCCTTTCTGCATCTATTCTTGATATACACGCGATACAGTAATTCGAATGATTCCACATTCTCCATAATTTTAGAAATGTCTCACTGTTATGCCCCATTCAAACTCCGATAATCCATGTCGTCTTGCCATAGAGAGAGACTACTTGGTTATCATTTACTCGCCAGATGTCAGAACACAAATGAAAACAGTCTGGGCATTTCCATTACGGTGAAACCAATTATCATTACCTTTGCACGCTACTAAGCACTGATTTTTTCTATTATATTATAAATTGGTTGATTTCTTTCAGTCTTTTAGGCTGTAGTGTGTAGAGGGTGTGGTATCTGACGAAACAACTTGAAAATTATGGTTCTTTCAGACAAAAACAAAATTAAATGCGAGCATTTAAGGTAGAAATCTTGAAAAAATAAAACGCTTTTTTTCCAATTAAGGTCTCTAAACATTCAGGTGTATTCAACGGGCTTATTAAAGAAGAAAACATTTAACAGGCTTATTAAAGAAAATAAGATATTGTAAAAGGAGAGAAGACATAAAAAACAACGTAATAATGTCTAATATTAAAAAAAAGCTAAAAGTTTAACAATTAATTAGATAAATAATATGTAAAGGAAATAATTTACACTAGTTTTAACACGGGAAAATTTAACGGTTTTCCTATTTGAAATTTCTAATCAAACTTAATTCTTCAGTAAATGATTGAATAAGCTTATGGCAAGATCTATGACAATAGAATATCTGTAGAAATTTCCCGGTCGCATCCTCAAATATTTGAGTTTAACAACTTTAACAAAATATTGCAATGACAATCATAAATATGAATGCTGGTCGTTATTTTAAGAAGTAAGGGGATACAAATGAAAAGATTTGAAATTGACAACTTTTACGTTAAACATATCTATCTTCCCTTCTTTCTTTCATTTTCTCACTTAAAACAAGTAGCGTCTTTTGTCACAGCACGTGACTAAAACGGAATAGTCCATTATTTATGAGGTATTGGCAGGACGTAACGGTCATGCGAACTAACAAATGGAAGGACAAGCGCAATTAATATAAGACGCAATGCTTGGATAAAGGAAACTGGTGTTTATAGATTTCAAAATACTCGCTCACTAAATTCGCATTCTAATAAAGAAAGTGTATATTGCTAAGTCACTTCTGGATACCGACTATTGTCGTGAAGCGTATTTCGTATAACCTATCGAGGAACTTAAAGGGAGAAAAAGAGTATCGTATTAATAATGAGTAAGGGTTCTGCTGAATATACTTAACGTACATGGAAAAGGTTAGAGCAATTAGCAAAGTTCAGTTGGCGCTATGAAAGTATATTTGCAAAGTTCGCTTTACTGTCAGTAGAGAGACACGAACATCAAGTCAAATAAACGATTTAGTGGTTGATGCCTGTAACAGAATAACTGTGAAACCAACGAGTTTAGACTCTGCCTTTATTGTTTTAATTTTTCAATAAGGAATCGATTTTAAAATATTAATTCTTTATTATTTTTGAAGGGAGATAGAACGAAAATTATTCTGGATAATGACACGTTGTTTCTAAAAATCTAGAGCAGTGGTCGATAACCCTCAGCCGTCGGGCCATAATCAGCCCGCGAAGGAGTTTTGACCGGCCCACAAAATAAACCGTAGTAAGGAATTTGCATTTTTGTTGTTGTTTGTGTTGTTATCCTGTTATTTCTGTAATAAAATAAAGAACCTTGTTCAAATAATATAGCATTAACTTCATTGATTTTTCTTTAAATCCCCAGACCAAGGCAACCTTGTGGACGGAGCGGTCTGGGACGAACGAATTTATTATAGGACATTTGATATCATGGCCCTTCTCCGAGGCACTGCATTGCCGTCTGACCCACTCTCTCTAAAAGGTTGCCAACTAGAATTACAAGTAATCTTCACATATATACCCTCATATACTCTCGAACGGTCATGCGGGGAAACAAACATATGCCTGTTTAGTGGGTGGGATAGTTGCGTATTCCTCACGGTGTTCTGTGTTGTGGCCAACTAAAAAGCCAGAATTTTGAATCCTGATTTTCGAGGCAGACAACGTGTCCTCACTTCTTAACATTTTTTTACAATAATTCCTCCTTACTTGAAACTGTGCTTAACAGTGCCCCTTCAGTACATTAGTGATCATGGCTCTCCACAACTTCCTACATTTCGTAGCTCCCGGTCCTTGTCTTTCTATCCATGTACGCAAGCAGGTTCGGTAACTTACTCGATGTCTCCATTTGTCCCTGTCGCTTTCATTAAGTCTTGTGAGTATCAAATTCTCCAAGTCCTCTTTCTTAGTATTTCAACCGTCTCTTTCTAACACTAAATACTCATTTCCTTACCACGCTTCCTCCGTGTTTGACATTGTGCTTTACCATGTTCCTTCAGTGGTAATGGCTCTTCACAACCTCCTACTCTTCTAGCAACATTTATCATTTAGCTATCATTCCCGGTCTCTGTTCTCCTATCCATTTACACAAACTCGTTAAGTAACTTACTCACTGTTTCCCTTTTGTCACTTTTGCCTTCTGTATGTCCTTTGAGCATCAAATTCTCCAAGCCTTCTTTTCACATTATGTATCCCAGAAATTTAAACAGTCCCTTTCTGATTCGAAATAAGTGTCCTTTTTGTTTCCATTTTTCCTTTAAAATTTTTCTTGTTGCTTGCATGCTCCGTCCATGGTATTCTCAACATACTTTTGCAGAACTACATTTTGGTTGTCCTCAGATCTCCTCTTCATCTGTGAGGAAATTGTCCAGCATTCACTGCCATATAGGAGGATTGATATTATATAACAATTCAGTTTCTTAATACATTCCTTAGCTTTTGAGAGTCATCTTTCGCTATTCCAATGCAACTTCGGATTTCGATGTCATATTTTCCATCCTCTGTTAACACTTTCCAGCTATTGACACTTTTGTACTTGCTTGATGTTGATATATCCAAATTGCAGCTTTTTTTTTCTTAATCAATACACCCCAAGTAAGGCGTTAATGCCACTAAGATGGAAGGGGTCACTGGGAGTGAAAAAGAATGAGAAAACTTTGTGCTATTCCTCTTGCTTGCAACCACACATCCTATCTTATTACAATTGATGATTAATACTTCCAATAATAAATCCCGGTAGGACTTCGAGCCGTCTTAGGATTGCCTTGCTGTAAAGATTAAATGCATAAATCCGGTGAAAAGACTTGCCATACGCCCACTAAGCTTGGTAAATTCTTATTCTTTCTTTTATGTATCATGTCCTGAAAGAATATAGGCGATCATAGCTCTCCACAACTTCTTGTCTTTTGTTTCTCTAAGTAGCTTTTCCTATCCCATCTTTGTCCTTGTTATGCCATTTCTACACACAAATTCGCCGCTTTTCCCTGTTTCTTTTGCCATTAGAATGCCCTGTGAGTGTTAAAGTCTCTAGGCGCTTATTCCTCATTATATGCCGCAGAAATTTCCGCTGTTTCTTTCTCATTGTAAGTATACGTTTCCTTGTCGCTCCTATTCTTAAAACGAAAACTTTGCTCATATGCCGGTTCATTGTTTTCACAACTTTCGTCAGTAGAACCTCATCTCTAAAGCTTCAAGTCTCTTTATCTGTGAGGAGAATGTCCCGCATTCACTCCCATATAAGGAAATTAGATATTACATAGCAGTTGTTCTTTTTTCCTTCCTATTTCTAGTAACATTTTCCTATCTCTTAATATTTTCTTCGTTTCTGAAAGACATCTTTCGTTACTCCGTCTCACCTTCAGATCACTGTTTCACACTTTCCGTCGTCTGTTAATATATTACCCAGATAGTTACATTTATGCACCCGACTGATTTTCGACGTCAAAGTCTTTTTTAAATCATTTCCCCCAGAGCAAGGAAATAAAACCATTAAGACGTAAGGGGTTACTGGGTGTGAGAGAATATGAAAAACAAAAAACAACAACAACAACAACAAAAAAAAAAAACACTATTAAAGAGAGAGAACAATACTAG